TTATACGAGACTGCTGTATTCTTGGTGATCGTCAATAACTTGATCGTTTTTAGAAATTTTTTATACGTAAAGAATATTTAAGTGTATCTACTCACAACCAAATTTTGCATACCATAGAAGGGATGAGCAACTGCTTTTTTAAAGTTATAAATGCAACAATTTAACGAAGAGAAATAACAGGATAAAATAGTTTATGAAACTGAAATACTAGTAATGACTAATGAACAACCAAATTACTTACATATAAGCTTACAAAACAAAACACAACAATATTTCAGAAAATGCGATATATTTTATTAAAGATAATAATTTATCAACAGTGATTGTTATAAACATGCATTTTTTTAAACAATAATCAAATACTATTCGAGTAAATCAATCATTTGGCACATAATTTCGAAATAAATGAAATGAATGAAAGTATGTCCTTATCGAAAAGTTTGGATCCAAAATCATGAGATCAATTCGTAAAGCCACATCAGCTAAAAGTCAAAAGTCCTTTCTAAAAAATATATCAAAGAAACTGTAATGAAAGACTGTGGTTAGAATTCACTAAGATAAAGTCCCATCTCATCACTGAATATCAGCAACCTCCAATAATATTCAAAAGTCTGTGTCATCCAATCAGAAGAAAGGTACAGAGGCCACAAAGCAGTGAGAACCAGAAGTGACAAGAATCTCTGGTCCATAAAAACTGTCAGCTTCCAACAGAGTAAAACTGTCAGGTGACCAGTCATCTAGTAACAGGGCTGTGTTAACCACTGGTTTGTAGTCCTCTGGGAGAGTCTGTAAAAAATATCATAATATATAATTCATTCCGTTTGCTAATCTCTGATAAATAATGTAATTTTCTTTTTTAATATTGAATGATAACGTAAATGGCAAAATCAAATAGATTCAAAACAATCTGGATAGTTTTACACACATGCAAATTTGTAGTTATCCGTATCTGGATAATTTCTTTTATCATACAGTTTTATCTTACATGTATATATATTTGTGACAATAATTAAAATACCTTTTTGATAGACATTGGCTCTTGTTTGGACCCATATTTCAACTGGCTACATTTCTCAATAACCTTCCGTTCAGCACTACTAGACAAGGACTTTTGCTGAAACTGAAATATTTTTACACAATTTACTTATAACCATGTTTATTTGTTTATTCAAGATATTTGAAATATTGTATGTTTACTATAGTATTCACTGTCAAATTATATTTTGTGTATGCAAGTATTACTGATACTATCTAAAATGGTTACCTTCATTTCTAGTACAGACTGCTTTGATGACACTGGAGTTCTAGCTACAACACCCCGTTTAGGGCTTGAGTCCATAGTGTCGGTTGCTTTTTTAGGGCTCGAGTCCACAGTGTTGGTTGCTTTTTGGACAGTAGCAGTAGTAGCCTGTTTAGGAGTAGAATCAGATCTGCCCGTATCTTTTTTACCAACAGAAGTCATTTGTTTGGATGTGAAAACATCAGATTCTGTTTCCTTTTTATCATCGGCAGATTCCACCTGACCCTAAAAGCAAAAATGTCAATTAAGACTTTAAAAAATTCTTAAAATTCTGAAGACATCCATTTCAAATCTTCTAACAGTGGTATATATTCCATATAGGCAAGAAGGCTGTAGCCTACACATCATTTTCTCAGGGACAAAAATTTGGTTGAATAAAGGGGCGGGGAGTTGATAATAAATCGTACCTATGAATTTATTTTGTTGCAAATGCTAAAACAGCATTCATAACAATCCACACTTTTATGCATATCCAACTGTTTACAGTTTTGCTTTATATTTAAGGACAAGGTTATTCCCTTCGCTTGAATTTTTTTAAAGCCAAAGTGTTATTAATATTAAGTCTGTATCAGAAAATTTAATCAAAAGCAACAGGAGTCCATAATGTGTGCAGGAAATGAAATTTATAACTTGAATTAATATATTTGATTAGTTGGAAATTTTGATCGAATTTTGATTATTCAGTAAGGAAGTTTCCATATGAGAAAAAGGATAAATTTAGACTGTGTCAGTTTTATTAAGTGGTCTTCACACATGACAATATAAACTGTAAATACGTCTACAATATTATTTTCATTGGTCAAATTAAAATTGTAGATGTCTGAACTTGCAAAAATGCTCCCATTGAACCCCCCCCCCCAATACCTTTAAAGGGAAAGCACCTTGTCTACCCACACACTAGCCTACACATTAGCAGAGAGAATATACGCCACTAACTTATGAACTCTATTAAGTAAATGTCAATTCTTAATTACACTCCTTGAACATAATGAAATATTTGCATTGATTTTAGGTCTTCATCACACTAACCTGTTTTTGCCTGTTCAGGATCCTCATAATTCTGGCCACATATGGAGGATATTCCACTGAATCTGTCTGAGCCTTTGGTGGAACAACAATGCGCTTGACTCCCTTCTAGAAAATAAAAGAAAAAGTCGAAATTTCATACAACAAATTTTGCAAGAATATAATAGATTTAAATGGAATTATTTGATAATATTCTTAATTACCTTGCCACCTTTCTGAGCTAAAGAAGTTTGTACAGAATTCTCAGTCTGGTGCAAAGTTACATCCACTGGCTTTCCAACTGATTGCTGCATGGGTTTTGCATTGTTTTTCTCCAGTTTTCTACTCCCTTTGGCCATTGAGCTTTTGGAAGTCAAATTTTTGTCTGCACTAACATACTGTCCCTGAGAAACAGTTTTAGGAATCTTTTCCTTTGACTTTTTGGGTTTAGATTTTGTTTGTGCTTCAACTGGTGCCACAAATGCAGGTACACTCTGTGGTTGAAGACTCCATGATTTCTGGCAATAAAATATATAAATATATATTCGTTTTTGTTATCAATGCAGAAAATACAGTTCCAAGATTGGAAAAAAGCAAAATTAGCTTAGTGGAAATGGGAAAAACCTTACAAGCTTAGCAGAAGACCTCTGGGGATACTCAGCTGATGGTCCAGGTGTTGTCACATTAGGTGTGGGTGTTACCACAGGTGAGTGTACACCATTGTAGTAACAGTTACTACTGACTCCATGGACTGATTGCTGTGGTAGATGAATGGTCTGATCATACACTCCAGTAACTGATGGAACATTGGTGATGTTGGTAGGAATTTGTAGTGTTGTCCCATTAACCCATTCATCTGTCACAATGGTTGGAGTATAGTCTTGGACCCCAAAACTGGCCAAATTCTATTTATAAAGACACAACAAAGACATTATAGGATCTTAAATATTCCTTCAAATTGACATTATTTATAAAACTAGCTTATTGTGTACGTTTATTGTCCCCCGCTTGAAAAGTGGGGGATATTAATTTGGGTTTGTCCGTCCGTCCGTCCGTCTGTCCGTCCGTCTTTCTGCCTGTCTGTAACGCTTTCGTTTCCATACGATATCTCGAGAACCCTTTGAGCTTTTGCAATGAAATTTAAATTAGCAACTCCCTATGGACTAAAAAAGAACCCTATTGATTTTGAGGTCAAAAGGTCAAAGGTCAAGGTCATAAATAAGCAAATTCTGTCTGTTATAACACTTTCGTTTCCACATGATATCTCTAGAACCATTTGAACTATTGCAATGAAATTTTACGTAACAACTCCCCGTGGCCTAATGAAGACTTCTATTGATTTTGAGGTCAAAAGGTCAAAGTTCAAGGTCGTAAATTTATACACTCTGTCTGTGTGTAACACTATCATTTCCGGGCGATATTTCAAGAAGATTTTGAGCTTATGCAATTTAATTTTATACCAAAACTCCCTAGGACCTCTCTTACCCCTCTCAAAGTGCCCCGCCCCGTTTGTTTTATTAGTATTTATAGTATTACCTGTTGCTATTTTTAGCACAGGGGCATGAGGAGAGTTACTGCATATAAAACAGGTTCTCGGCGGACTTTATGTTCTTATTACAATACATCTATTAGAACTGTTTAATAAAGGCTAAATAAATCAAACACCATGGATTCCGATTGTGTAGAATTTTGAGAATACCGAATATGATTATATACATGTATGTGACTTTAGTTCTGCATATACTTAACAGTAAGTAAAGCGATTCCGTGGTCTAGAGGTATGTCTCTCGCTTCACATGTAAGAGGTCCCGTGATCGAATCTCGGACGATCTTTTTTTTTTTTTCCCGAAATACTTTTCTTTTTTTTTACTAAATGATAGTATTCAGCATGTGAAATGAAAAATTTATGAGGTTATAAAATCATCATTACAGTGTGATAAATATTCCATATAAAAAGAATCTTCTATACAAACAAGAGGCCCACGGGCCTTATAAGTCACCTGAGCATCATGTAACAACTTTCTAGCGATTGTATTTGGTTCGTGTTTTAATCCAAAAGCCATGAAATTCACAAATTTTGAAAGAGGCACCATTGCTTATGAAAGGGCAGATTTCAAAGCATTAATTTATTTTTAGTCAAAGTACCCCCCTGGTACCCCTGACCCAGCTGCCCTGAAATTATCTATTTTGAAAGAGGCCCCTTTCTTCATTATAAGGCCAGCATTTTTTTATGTTTAGGTTTAGTTATGAACATGAGAATAAAAAAGTCCCGAAGGAGTAGGAAATAAAAAAAAAAAAATTTGATAAATCAATTATTAACATTTGTACATTCTTTTTTATGCTATCCTAATAGGCTTCTTACCACTGGACACATAATGCTTACAAATAGGAAAGTAGAACATTTAATTCTTTATTTCATCATCTGCCAGTTTGGGCAAGTTAATATATAAATATTAATGTTGATCAAAATATATTTTAAAAGATCAATTCTTTAAAAGTCTTTCAATATAATTATTTTCATTTTTTTAATATGTGTAGACATTGTTCTAAAATTTACTTGATGCCTCAAATTATAATTCCTATCATAAAACAGACAGGGAGTATTGGGGAGTAGGGTGAACATTTTTGCAATTAAGTGTGAAATAATTTTTCTGGCTGATACAAATGATACTACATGCCTGTATATATTTGTATATTCTTGCCTTTTAATAGTTAATTTTTTTTTATTTCTTCAGGTTATTGTTTATTTCTTCCTCAAATGGACTTAACTTCTCCCATAGTTTTATTCATTACATCTGATGCATAAGCAACCCTTTTCTGAAGAATGATACTGTAAGCTACAACAGAGACCTAAACAATGTCGCTGGCAATATGCAATAGCTACCACGGGCAGTTTAAAACCTGGGGAGGAAAATAATTTACAGACAGATACTTTTGAAACGAATACATAATTATCTCACCAGCATGTCATTGTGCAACAAAGTCGTCAGCATTTTATTTGAATGTCCTTTGAACGGGTGAAACGTTCTGAATGGCACGCTTATCGATGGATTTTACACTAAACCGAGCTATCTTCTCAGATCTAGCTTTATTTACCCGCCGTTTCATCGTAAAACCGGAAGTGCGAGTTCGTAAATTTGAAATCTCGATCCCGACTCAAATTTGACATCGGAAAGAAATTTTTTTAAATTTTTTTCTCAAAATTCAAAACCTTGAGCGGAGGGTTTTTAAAACTGAAAATAAAATAAATCCTGGCCTTAAATATGTAATTAGATCATTAGCACATTAACCAGGAGCAAAGGATAAGATGTTCACAGAATTCATGCATTTCACTGTATAATCATTGGAGCCCCACCCCAAAACAAGAACCCCTGACCCTGGGGCCATAAAATTCATAATTTTGGTAGAGGCACTCTTGTTCATCATAACTATGTACTAAGTTAGTTTATTTAATACCCAGGAGCAGAGAAGAAGATTTTCAAAGAATTCATGTATTTTCACTATATTATCAATAGAGCCCCGCCCTAACACCAGAACCCCTGACCCTGGGGCCTGGGGCCATAAAATTCACAATTTTGGTAGAGGCACTCTTGCTCATCATAACTATGTACTTAGTTGGTTTATTTAATACCCAGGAGCAGAGAAGAAGATTTTCAAAGAAATAATGCATTTTCACTACCTACTTATTTAGCCCCGCCCTAGCACTAGAACCCCTGACCCCAGGGCCATGAATTTCACAATTTTGGTAGAGGACTCATTGCTGATTACAAACATGCAAACAGTTTGACTGCTTGATGTCCAAGAGTAAAGAAGAAGATTTTTAAAGATTGCATTAATTTTAGTGGTTTTGGCCCCACCCCTCAGGCCCCAGGGGGGCAGGGACCCTGAAATTCACAATTTTTGTTTCCCTTTACCCACAGATGCTGTATACAAAATTTGGTTGAAATTGGTTTAGTGGTTCCAGAGAAGAAGCTGAAAATGTTCAAATGTTAACACACGACGGACGACGGACGCCGACGGACAAACATGGATGGCAATAGGTCACCTGATTGACTCAGGTGAGCTAATAATAAAGAATAAGCAATCAAATCTTTATATGCTTATTGACATACATGTATTTTATTTCCTTCAGTATACATGTATACATTTAATAATTCTACAAATTCAGTCAGTGGGATCCGACTTTTTCCCTAAGCGGGGGACACGAATTCTCTGCATTAGCTTGTTTTACAATAATTTTTAGAGATTAAGGGCTCATACAAATCATCTCTCAAAGATAATTCAGATAAACGAATGGTCTATTTAGTAATTTTATTTTCCAATATTTTTATGTAATAGAAAGTATCATTAGTACGTTGTGAAAGTGATATGAGAGGTCAAGAATTATGAGTTAATTACCAAACGCTTTCATTGCACAACACTGACCAGTCAAAACTTATCTTTCAAAATAAAATAGGCAGGACATTTTGTGAATACTTTTTTCTGAAACATGGGTTAAAAGTACTCACCAGTTCATTTGCAAAGATTGGCTGTTGGAGCTCTGCTTGTGTCAAAGTCGGGTTTAAAATTTGGACAGCAAAAGTAGTCTGGTCTGAGGGATGAATGTGTCCCTGGCTGTTTATGGCTAGCTGTTGCTTGGTCTCCTGAGATTGCTGCTGGATGGACACCCATGGTAGGGTCTGTCCAGATCTCAGCTCATTCAAAGTCAGTTGTGGTTGCACATTTGTGAAATCAGTCTACAAAAAAGAAAAAAATGTATAAGAAACTGGAAAAATATTGATAATATAGCTAATAAAACCATACTTTTACTGAATGACTTCAACTTCTCTATCGTCAAATGCAATAAGGTAGCAAAATATATCCTTATAAGTTATAACTTGTATGTTTCTCGGTTTATTTGATATATCAGAACATGTACTATTTTCGAAAAAATTCTAAAATAAGGCAAGCTTCGGACAAACAAATTGATGAAGCAAAGGTATCAACAGTCCTGTTTAAAGTCATCATTTTGCAAGTTCTTTTGTCGATACAATCACCTTGAGAGCAAATACAATTTATCAATTAGTCAAATGCTTCTTGGCGTTTTTCAAAAACTTATTGTTATGCCATTATTTAGATACTAAATGAATAGTATCTATGGTTTTATCGTTTGCCTGATCATGACAAGGAGCACATGTCGGATGTGACCGGTCAGCAGGGGCTGCTTACTCCTTCATGGCACCTGATCCTATCTCTGATAATTTTAGAGGTCTGCTATACTCCCGATATGTACTGTTTTAATGGACTTTTGAGCTCGATTGCTGTTCGTTATTGTCATATTTCATTTCCAAAATTAACTTTAAACTTGCAAAATTGGACTTGATTTTTGATAATGAAACACCCTCTGATCATGAATAATGTAATTTTTTAAGTATGAATGTCCAATGTTTCTTCATTCAAAATTATGAACCAATCCCTTTTGGTCAATGTTCTTGAATTTTCCGTATGATGTGTAGTCAAGATCGCCACACATCCATTAGTCAGAAGCCGATTTTTGAGAAAAATTTCAACTTCCATTTTTTTTTCAGTGGAAAATTGTGGACTTTAGCTCTATTAGCGACTTTCAACTTCTCAATAACATTTTGACATGATTGAGACATGATTAGGAAAGATGATTGGGACATAAGCAGTAATAAAGTGAGCTTCGCAGTTCAAATATTTCTCTATTAGAACTTGTGTTAGGAAGAATTATGGTTTCCGACAAAATGACCTTGAAATTGACCAAATTAATTTTCATCAACTTTATGGTCATAATTAAATATTGAGATAATGAACCATATTCAAGCACAAAAGTCTATTGAAACAGTACATATCGGGAGCAGAGTACACATGCCCTAAAACATTATGTAAGGGTTAATGTACGAGTAGCGCTCCATTTTTGTTTGAGAGCTCCATTACTTTTCAGGAATGGAGAGTTGCAAATTTCATTGAAAACGGATTCCGAATTTCTTATAATCTTATTCTCCTTTCCGTGTCTCTAACGAGAAAAGAATTTTAGAATATTTTAGAGTTGATTTTCACATTATGAAAATTTTATTGCCTATGGTAAGAATATCAAACTCATACCCTCCGCTTTGTAGTCGGGTACACATTTCACAGAGCTATCGAAGCTGTTGAGATACACTGGATTAAAATAACTTTAGTACAATTTTTTTCGCCTTACTGTCTATAGTATATAAAAAATAACTACTACTAATATATAATGTCTATTTACAGTGTATCATATAAATATTCTTTATTCTATGTAAACGAACAATAGATAAAAGCATTAAAAAAGCGGATTTTAGGTGATATCAGGTACAACAAGGAGTATACTCCTTGTCAGAAAAATCTGTAGACAATTTATTTGAGACAGTAAATAATGACATAACAGTTGGTACGAAAAATGTTAGCACTAAATGAAATTATAAAGATTGTATTTGCTGACAGTGTCGTTCTACTGACCATAGAAGTTACATTATGACGATTTAAAACGAGACTATTTCATCAACTTATTTGTCAATAGTTTGCCATTTTCTAGAAATTGTTTGTAGAGAATGCCCTTCCATTTGGGATCAATTGAAAGACTCAAAGTCCATTTGCGGGTGATAACGGTTTATTTCTACAATAACATAAGTTCGGGAAATAGGCTAAACAAGAATTGAAGCCATCACATTAATCGTAGGATTTGATTTGCTGTAAGTTTGAAGTTTTCTTCAGATAAATTTTCAAAATATGACATAGATATGTCTTTTATTTCAAAGTCACTCGATTTATCGTGTTGTCATATGAATGAAAGTAACTAAATTTTGAAATAATAAAACATCCCCGATACATGTATTTCCAAATATCAAGTTGAAAATGAAAGCAATCTGCGTTTTCTCATCCTCATGCATAATTTTTAAAAATAAATTCTGCGTTATTCATAAATCGGATTATGCCCAAAAACTTTTTGCATATAACAACATCGAATATATTCTGTAATGAATTTGATTTAATAATGCATCTTGCAAGTGACCTTGCAATACCTTAGTAACCTTGAATAAAGGTAAGGACTTATTCTTAGATCATAAGCATTCGTTGTCAATCCCAGAATGACTGGCATACAGAGGGACAATTGTGATGTATTTCAAGATGTAAAAACCAACCTCCTAAACAAATCAATTTACGGTACATTATGTACATTCTAGTTCCAGACCTAAACCTAAAACATACCTGTTGTTGTATCCTAGTCCCAGGTTGAGAAGGATACACGGTACAATTGGTGACATTAGGGTTCACTGTCTCAGTGCTGGTGACTGAGCGACCATTAGGAAGAACTGTGGACGTTATGAATTGTTGTATTTGTTCATTGCTCAACAGAGGTTTTGCCACCTGAAAAAAAAAAATGTTTCCTTGAATATACTTTTGAAATTCTATTAATTTGTCTGAATTAGAGTGTGTTTACCGGTATATCAGGATGAGAAACGTACTTAAATCTGACTTAAAAAAATAATTAAGCATTTTTAAAAGGGGTTGCTAGCTACATGCAAAAAAGTATATCAATATTAATTATCAATTGTCTATATGGGTACCATTAATTCTCTGTAACGTACCCCATTTGTCACCACTCTGCCACTTGTACGATTGGGTCCTGTGTTTTGAAATACTGCTTGATTGGAAGCCTGAATATAACGCTTTCTTGGTGGCCCAACCTGCAATGAATTTAAATATTTAATTGTAATTTCATATATTATAAATATAAGCAGACAAATATGAATGAAAACGTGGACTAATGGAAAAGATAAAAGTTGATAGAAGAAAGAAAAAGATTTGAGAAAAAATAGATTAAGACCTTAAATTAACTTACATCGTTTTATACCAATGTTTATTACATATAAAACAAAACTGAGACCTCCACATCTCTCCCGGAAGTGGTGGGCGTGGTCAAGATGTCCACTCCCAGCCTCTTGTAAATACTCGAGGCAGCTTCCGGGTTGGCAAACTGAACATCCACTCTCTTCTGAAATGACAGAAAATGAATTGTTTGAGCAATAATGAACACAATTTTTAAGAAAATTTCTTACATATTTTAAGTTAGGGGTGGGGGCAGTCAAACAAAATTCTAGTTTAGCAAGCGATAAAGAAAAAAATGTTGTTTTTGTTGTTGTTGTTTTTCATAACAGATTAAATTCATTATTAACGAATTTGAAAATGTTTTTAACGAATTTAATTCATTATAACGACAAATTAGTATATTAAAAATATCTTTAAAATAAAATTCATAAATGGGCCTCCGAATTGACTGATTGACTGAAAGAAAAAGCACCCCCCGTATTACAACATAAATGCTTGTCTCCTAATATGATCTGGTATTCTAAAGAGTGTAATATTACATAATTATTATCCCCTGGTAACAGGGTTGGGGTAATAGTCTCGTGACATACTTGGGGGTGGGGTGGGGGGAGGTTAATATGTCCTTTGTGCGATGCGGAAGTTCCCAACCTCATCGTCACATACCCACAGCTGATGCGATCACCTGTGGCTATGCCGACCATGATGAAACCTGGAATGTTGGTTAACTGGAATAACATACTAAAGAAAAATTACAATTTTCTGTACGCTCTCAACATGTTCATTGTATTTTTTTTAATCAATAGCTACATGTTAGCCTTCTTGCCTATTATATTCCCCTCTCTAAAAAAAGTTTGTCAGATGGTGTTATTTTAAAAAATATTGCTGTTCCTATCTTTTAAAATTATGTGAAAAAATAAACGATTCAGAAACACTTAATTAAAGGACTCAAAAGAATTTAGTTTTCCATCCTTAATTTCACAGAGTTTGAAAATTATGATATGATAAAAAGGCAATATAAACTAAAATAATCAAATAAATCAGATTAATTTCCAGATCTAAAAATACAGGCATTTCTTTTCAATGATGAACCCCCCCCCCCCCTCCCGGGAATAAGTTTTCATATGAATTTGAAAAAGAAAAACTTCTTGTATTGTTTTGTTGGCACAATATTGATTTTAATGGTTAAAGGGAAGCAACTCAACTTGCTGGTTGTTATGAGCTCCCTTGGTAAAGACCTTTAGAAATCATTCAAGGCTACCAAATAATATGGATTTATTTTGCTAATTACGAGAAAAAAATTCTGATAAAAACTGTTGAGTAAGAATTAGAAACGATATGTCGGTCTGAAAATGTTGCTTACTACATTTTTTTCTCAGATTGGCCCTAATTTGAAATCCTAGTCTCTAGGCCTATATAGTGAGAAAATCAACGATCTTTCATTGTATTATACTCACTATATTTTTGGAATTTTCTGCACATGAAATTACACTGCAATTTGATTAATGCAGTTCTCATTTTTCTACTCTAGGTCCCTAATTTATTCATTCCACTTTGTTTAGAATCCCGCAAAAGGGTGCAAAAAGCCACGAATTTTCTTCGTAACTTAAGCAATATTCAGTATTCTAAACTTTATTAATCTCATGTTATTACTTTACTAAGGGTTGTAATGGTAAAAATATTCAAAAGACCAAAGATAAATCCTTCAAATACGTTTGTATATATATATATAAGTTTGTAAATACTTATAGACTGCTGTCTCATGTTTGCGATTTTAAATTTTCCCTCCCTAGCAACAGGCATTTTAAATTTTCCTCACAAAAATACACAAATATGGTCATTACCCTTTTATGACTCTGACTGTTCATTTCTGTAGCTGTATCGATTGTTTGTAATCAAAAATTCCAGAAAATCTTCGCTTAGCGAAAATCACGTCTTATCTCAACAACTGATGCTGAAACTATGAGCTGTAACCAAAACACATCACACAGCCTAGCAATCGTGACGTTATCATTAGGACGACAACCAATGAAAACATTTTTCTTTTCCACAGAAGTGAATCATTAGCCATTCGGCAAATCTCGGATAATTCCGTCACCTATAATGATCACTCGGCCGATTCGTATCTCATGATCTAACGTTTGATGATGGCGACGAAATCAGCCGGGCTTTGTCGAATATTCTTTTACACCAATCGCAAATTATCGGTCTTTTCCGGCTGAGATCGATAATCTGCCGGGAAGGCCCGAGAAGCAATTTCCAGTTTCCGACTAGCGAAAAAAAACGCTGTTTTTCCGACCTCTGACGGAAAGATCCGAGATGATGCGATTGGCCCTAGAAGATACATGCGAAGTACCTTATAAACAAAGAGTAGATATCGGCTACCCTAGTCCGAAATATCTGACGTCTTCCTGACTTTTTAACGATTTTGGTATTTTAGGTGAAAAAAGCCTGGAAAACGTCAGATATTTTGGACTACATCTACCCGATATCCAAGATATTCGATTTTTAAATTATTAATTTGAATTGTCATATTGACCGTTCTGTTCATGTAGATGAATTTAAAAAAAAAACCTGACAGAACGTCAGAGATACTCAAGCTGCGAAAGTACCATAAACCACAGGTACTGTACTGTGGACAGGACCCCCCACCCCCACCCCCGAAATTCAGCCCCAGGGCTTATTGGACTTTTCCCACAAATTCTTCATCATATGTGCATGTACAATGTTAAGAAATAGTAAAATCCCCAAAATAATGGCTCCACATAAAAATACCCTAATATACTTTATAAAAGAGATCTCTTATAATGTACAGTAGCCTTAATTTGGGGTTTTTACGATTTCTTCTCAATTCTGAGAACCTTGCATTCCCTAGACGTACTATGAATTATCGTAAATCTGAATATGTAATTTTTAAATTTAATATTGTTTGTTCGCTTTTTCCTTCTTTTTTAAAAGTAAAATATCGGTAGTGTACATGTACATAAATAACCAATTACCACAATTTACACTTAAAATACACTAAAACCTAGGAGCTTCCAGGGGCCCCACCACAGCTATGATCTAGACCCAGACCCCCTGTCTGCAAGAATTTATCATTTCTGCATCTACTGTAACTGCATTAGCCACGTGCACACATTTTCATAACGGTACAACAAATAAGATCCAAATGGGATTTCAAGCTGATATATTGTAAATAGGGTGATAATTTTAAAAATATTTATAAATAATAAATTATATTAAAGTTATTTTGTATTTCTTGTTTTTTATGATTATTTCACTTGATCATCATCATTGTTTCGATATATGTTTCTCATTAATGATAATTTTAAATGCACATATTTCTTCAACATCCCATCGTGTGTGTCTACATGTGAAACTTTAAAATGTCACCAATATAAAAATTATATATACTTAATGGAAGGATTGCTCTTCTTCATCTGTCTATTACTTTATCATGTTTATCAATAATTATCATATTATGATACAGTGTGTGTGATTATATCCCTGATTTGGTAATAAATTATATTCTATATTAGTGGCGGATCCAGGAATCTTGTAAAGGGTGTTAGGTCGGAGGAGGGGCGCACAGCCACACCAAAAATTAATTTATTATTTTTTCTGTATATTTGGAAACAAAAATATGGGGGGAGGGGGGCGTGCCCTTCTAAATCCGCCATTGATTTGAGTTGAAACACATGCAATTGGAAATATACACATTCCTGTATTACCCTTCTCTTAATTGTACTATTGAATGATCATTACTCTTTCAATCGGTATATAATGCTTATGGCTATTTTACCTATTTGGCCAAATTCAGACATGTGATACATGCCATGTCGTTTGAAGAACCAATAGGCTTACTTTAGAATTTTTCCCGCAATTAGTGAACTGTCTTTGTTCATGAAAAAGACAGGTTTCTTTGAGGAAAGCTCTAGTTAGTGTATATGTTGAACTTACTGTTTCTGTTATTAAGTCTGTCATATTAGAACCATCCTGACAAACCTGAAACCTGACAGATTTAATATTGGTATGTAAGTATATGTATGTGTAGTATACTAGACATATTCAAGCAGCTTAATTGAGTTTACCTCGCTCCATGAACAGATAAACACAGTAACGGAGCAAAACATCTTGAGGGGGGCAGTTTGGGGTCGGGGAAGGGACACACAGCCTCAGATTTATAAAATCTTATGAATATTTTGTACACAAAAAAGGGGGAGGTATGGCCACCATCTAAATCCGCCAGTGAATCAGGTGATTACTGGATAATATCATGTGAAGTATAATGTTGGTATCATATAGTTATGTAAATGTAATGTAAAACAATTGCATTGAAATGTATATACATGTATTTACATTTCTAATGTCTTTGTCCGGGATAAAATTACAAATAGTACTGTACTTTATTTCTTTATGAATGCACTTGTTCTCAATAGGCGCCGTTTTAAAAAAAAAAATCACGTGCAAGGCGGGACAAATAGCTAGACAGAAGCAGGACTTGTAGCACGTGGATCGGTGGAATCAAGAGCATGTAAATATAAGGAATAACTGTCTTAATTTTCGATTTCATGACGATGATCAATCGATTGGCCTGCAAGATAATTTTTTGCATGAATCGGCGTTTATGCAGATTATCACGCAAGCCAATCGATTGATCATATCATGAAATCTTTTGAGTAGGTGCATATATGTATCTATGGCATTTCCCTTGTATGTTAAGTTTTATGGTTAAAAAAAGCAATACTTTGAATGCTTGTTCCCTATTGAGTATTCATATTTTGATAAATCCTTAAATTTCTAAAATTCAAGTTTTTCGTATGATAAAAAGAACAGAAAAAGTCAATTTGCCTATAAATTGGGTGTATTTTACAGAAATTTTTGGAAAAAAATATAGTTGTTCAATTGGGACAGGGTTCTTTTACACAACCTGGATGTAAGGAATATCAACCTCTAATTTGGGGATAGGTTAACATGCATGTATTTGACTAAACCTTCAATGGGTATAGATAAATTTGACTTTGACCTAAGAGTTTGACCCTGAGTTTTTAACCTTGATCATAACTTTTGAACAGTTAGCACTTAGGACTTAATTCATATTTCATAGGTGTGTTCTAAGTGACAAAACCTTCTTTTGGATATCAACAATTATAATCTTTTGACCTTGACCTATGGAGTTTGACTTGCATCTGAGAAACATAAACCCTCACCATTATATAGCTATTATGCGGGAGCATCAGTTGTTTTACAAAAAATATCTCGTTTATCCTCAATATTGTTTTTTCCTATTATAGGACTATTGTGACCACTACATCTGAATCCATCCATATCAACACTGCAATATTAAATGAAGAATGGACCCATAATTATGCGTGTGTTATATTCTTCACATAAGACCACTACTACATTTGGCCCTCTCGTTGGTTGCTGATGATGGATGGTGCCGTAACATTGGATAAAGCAGTTAGGTTATGAATGATGGTCAACCTCTACCTTCCTCCTTTTGAGAGCCTCAATATGTTTTAACTGTCAACAGTGAGAGTTTTGTGCTGGCTAACTTTAGCCTAAGTACAATAGTGATTAAAACTGTGAACTGTGATTTTATATTGTAACTTCTGTGTGCATTGACTCTGCGCTGATTCAGTCGGAATTATTCCACCAGCGATTGGTAAGATAGTCTACCATACAGCACTTGTTTATACCTAACCAGTATATAGTTTAGAATTTTATACCCCCTGCTTGAAAAGTTGGAGGGTAAATATAGCTGAAGTGATTTGGATGTCTATTTGTACGTTCGTCTGTCTGTCTGTTTTGTATTATTATCTACTCTGTATAGACGTATATGTAAATTGAAAACAAAATATTTGTGCCCTAGCTGTCCTCATTTTATTGGTAATTGATATATACATATATAATTTCAAATTTCAAATTCTTATACTAACACCTTTGCACTACACTGCATGATACATATGTGTATTATCTGACAACTGCTGACTGGACTGAACAGATGTTGACAGAGCTGTGGTAGCTGTGGATCGAGATTGTACATAATAGGTACAGGTAATGCCCCCCCCCCCACCCCCTTGCCCTTTTTAGTCAGAGGTACATTCACCTGTATGATGATATAATTATATGTCTGTATGTTGATCAAGTGAAATATACTAGTAGTAGGTGTGTGACAACAGAAAGGGTCGATATAGATTACATGTCTGTCTGTCTGTCTGTCCTAGTTTATATTTGCTGTGAATATCAAAGTATATGTTTACTGATTTTTGGGGTACCGAGTAGATCCCTAATACCTGCTCACTATATAGAGAGTATAGATATGAATAAGACTGCCAATATTTTAATGTTTCATCTGGTCATATTTAATTTTCATTTCACCCACTGTATAATTTTATTGATGTGTATATTCATTTTGTTGCGAGTTTCAAGTGTATACAAAATTTAGACTAAATTGAAGTGAACTAGAGTTATTGCCCTTTGTTCAGAGTATTCAGTTGTTAAGGAGGAATGCCACACTAGCAGCTTTTCATTTTATAGATCTCTGAGTCCTCCTTTTTAAACAACGGTTTCAACATTGAAAGACCAATATTAGCTCTTAATTATTTTATATGAATTTTTTTTTGTATTTTTTTCGAAGAAAATGAAAAAAAATTATATATATCCAAATTAGATGCTTTCGATTTAAAAGTTCCCGGCCTGTAAATGAATGTATAAAATGAATCTAATAAAATATGTAAAGAAAGGCTAGATATATATAAACCATTTGATTTTTTAATAAAAAAATTAAAACACATTATTTGTGAATACACTATTATTTAAACCTATCGTTAAAATCACCACAAAACTAGCCACAATCACAGGCACCTGACATTACTTATTTTTCTTTTAATAAAAAAAATAATAAACCTCTACCTAATAGTAATAATAAACTTTTATTATTAGGTAGGGGTATATTTTTTTATTGAAAGAAAAATAAGTAACGTCTGGTGCCTGTGGTCACAACTGAGGAGAACATGTTTATCAATCGTATTTTAAAAAGAAATTGAAATGAAAATTAGAAATTTTCATGAAATTAAATGGATCTAACCCAATCAAAATTTTTGGACATTTCTTTGATTTTGTTTCTTTCTGAGATACATAAATTCGTTTTTTTTTATTTGATAAAATTAGTTGAATTGTAATAACTTTGATTTTGTTAATTAAAATTTTTTTGTAAGTTCTCAATCGGAATTAAATTGATTGGTTTTGGACAAAAAGTAATTTAACTGGATATTGATTACTGATTAGTAATTTATTTTCAAATTTCTGTGAAAATGTTATTTTTTTTTTTTTTGGAAATTTCATTCATTATTGTTGCCCGCTTTTGCAAAAGTAAGCATAAGGGGACATTTATAAATCTCATTTGTCTATCAGTCTGTCACAAATATTTTGTTAACCTTGGACATAACTTTAAAACAAGAAAAGATAGGGTTTTCATATTTTACATGAACGTACATTATCTGTGACAAGACCTTTCTAAATATTCTATAAAATTTGACTCTGTGACCTTGACCTTGAAATTTGACCTACTTTTTCAAAAAAAATTATCATTAGTTTTGATTAGTCATTTGTCATAAAGAGAAAAGGCAGCACTTTCATATATTACACATGTATATTAGCTTTGACAATACCTGTCTAAATATACAAATGTACTATATTTTTAGATCCTGTAACCTTGACCTTAAAGTTTGACCTACTTTTTAAAAATGGTATTTTTCCTTTTAACTTTTGATTGAGAAAAGATAGCTGTAGCTATCAAATTTGACATGTGAATTTCCTACGACAAGATGTTTCTGAACAAATTTGGACCCCTTAAGTGCTTGACCTTCATGTTTGACATAATTTTCAAAAAAAAAAAAATAACTTTGGTTATTACTTTTTATTGATATAAGATAATTCATTTACATTTGATACATTGAATATTCCTTAAGTATTTGGATCCCATTAAAGGCGAGGACCACAATTCATTAATTGAGTTTGCTTTTTATTAATATGTAGTTTTCACCTGTGACATTTATATAATAGCTTCTCTGAAATTCTATTGCTTACATTGGTGATTTTTATTATTCTGTTCACTGGGCACAATCACTCTGCATTTCAATTTCTTTTTAAGCTCATCTAGGCTGAAGGCTCAAGTGAGCTTTTCTGATTGAAATTTGCATGTCCATTGTCTGTCATCATATTGTCATCATCACAATAACTGTAAACTTTTCACATTTTCATCTTCTCCTCAAAAACCACTTGTCCAATTTCATTCAACTTTGCCAGAAATTTATCCATGGGTGAAGTGGATTTTCAGTTTTTTTCCAATTATTCTTCTTCCTCTAAGGGGAGATTATTATGATTTTTTGAAAAATTAAAGGCATATTATTAAAAATCTTTTTCTCAAGAACAGCTGTGCTTGAAAATATGAAACTTACAAGGAATCTTTGTCAGGTAGTGTAGATTTAAAGTTTGTTCAAATCATAAACCTAGAGATAGGATTGGGCTACAAGGGGAGATCTAAGTTTTACATTGAAAATTAACATAAAGAAAAATATCTTTATTTTTTTTCTCAAGAACAACAAATTCATGTTTAGACATATTGATATAGAAGCATCCTTAGATTGTGTAGAGTTTTTTTTTCAAATCATATACCCACAGGGGTAGGGTGGGGTACAATGGGGTATCAAAGTAAAAAAAATAAGGAAAAAAAATCTTTAAAATTCTTCAGAAGAACAACAAAGCCTTGACTGGTCACAATTATATAAAAGCAAATGATGATGTTATAGTAATTTAAATTTGCTCAAATCATAATTATCCACCGAAAGTATAGAGAGGCCATACCAGGAGATCATAGTTTAACAACTTGGAATATAAAGGATATATCAATAAAAAAAATTCATCTTAAGAACAGCAAAGCCATCATGTGTCATATCGGTATTAATTTAAAAACATCCTTAGGAAGTGGAGATTTTAAGTTTGTTCAAATCATACCTCTCGGAACCACCCATCTAAATTTTGAAGTACAATTGCGTACTAAACTGATTTCTGCTTTTTTTTTAGCCAAAGTACTCAAGTGAGCAATGTGGCCCCTGGGCATCTTGTTTTCAACTTTATTTCATTTAGATTTTTTAGATGGTATTTTGACATTTTAGCAGGTATATTCAAAACAAAGTCTATCATATTAAATCATGTATATGATATTTGTGATGTTAATCAAAGAGATACAATACATTGTGGGATGTGAAAAGTAAATTTCTGAAATCAGTGAAAAATCTTGAGTTCAATTCAAGTGATACATATGAGTGAACTATTGAAGTGAATTACTACATTGGAAATTGAAATTCTATCTAGGATTGTGTATTCTTGGAAAAGTTCATTATGGGAGATGAAATCTAAGAGGATGCCACTACAAACATGGATTTGCTAGTACAGTAAAATCCTATGAACTATGGCATTATGAAGTCCAGTGTCTTGCTAAAGAAAAAAGTGTACTGAGAAGACCAAATCCTACAAGCCATTCCAAGATTAGTAAAGGAGAATTAAGCTGCTAATGTTATCATAAGACTGGGTGTCCTAGTGCAACCTTTGACACTATTATGAAATTTGGTATACAGATTTATCATAGGTCAATTTGTTTTTTGGGTACAATTGAGCAATTTGTGACAGAATTATGCCCTTGGGACTTAAAATTTTCAATCATTTACTTTCCTTGTGCACCCTATAGTTATTTCAGGGGGTTGGGGGGTGGGGGTATGTGTGTTTCACGAATATGTCTTGTTTTGATACAATTGAAAGCTGTTAAACAGTACATTCGGTGTTAGGAAAATTCTACAGTGCAGAACAAGGACCAAAGGAGAATATTTCGAGTGGGGTTCTCACCATTAAAACATGGTCAATAAAACGGTCCTCTGAGAAGAAGTAGTAGCAATGAAAAAGAGGATGGCATGCTGTGGATCTAGGCCAGGATCATGGAACACAGAGCCTCAGAAATCACCCAGAGAAACAATACCAGGACTTATGGGAGAATTACAGATTAATATCATTGGTGTGGATACAATAGGATTCCATTTGGATTAGCCAATGCCCAGCAACATGTCAAAGAATAATAGAAGATTGTTTAGATTATTTACATCTCAACATCAGTGTTACATCTATTTGAGTGATTTATTTCTATTTTCAAGAACATTTGAAGAACATACAGAGATCGAGATTATAAAAGGCATTCCAGTACCAGATGAAGTTTATAGGCTATTACCATTGCTTTACAAAGACTTTACAAAGATAACAAAGCCATTTAACAAACTTGCATGCTAGTAAGCATATAAATATTGTTATTCAAGCATGTATGTAAAGATGAAATGCATGAACATATAATGCTATGATCCAATTGCAAACTGGAAAGCAGTATTTTTTAATGTTTAAAGTTATTCCTCTTGTAGTTTTAAAATATATGTTTTGCAAAATATACCATTCTACTAAAAGGTAAAAATAATTCAAGTAAAATTATAAGAATAAAACATTACATAATAATTTTAGAATACCTGTAGTTTGTTTTTAATCTTATTTTTGGTACTGTATACAGGGTTATTTTCACCCCATGTTTTTTGCACGCCTTTTTGCACTTGTGAACAAGTTTGCCCCGTTTTGAATTCGCCCTGTAATAGTTCTGTTAAAAAAATTATGTCGTGTAATTTGCATTCGCTCCGTTTTTAATTAGCCTAATGAAGAAGAGGGTGAAAAGGGGGAAAATAAAACCAGGGCGAAAATTTCCCTGCATACAGTAAGTGGGAGTGGGGAGAGTGGGAGAAAGAAAAGGAGAGCAGAGAGAGTGGGGGAAATTGGGTTTAAGGAGTAGGGAGATTGGATGAGGGGGTGAGGAGTGGAAGAGAGAGGGAGTGGGAAAGGAGTTGGTGAGGGAATGGGGAGAGTGATGGAGATAGTGAGGAGGATGAAAGAGAGGGTGCAGGAAGAGTGAAGAGGGTGGGAGAGGGAGTGGGGAGAGTGAGGGGGCGGGGAGGGAGAGGGGGAATGAGGGATTGGGGAGAGAGAAAGTGAGGGAGTGGGAGAGTAAAGGGTGGGGAGAGTGAGGGGGTGGAAGAGAGGGAGAGGGGAGAGGGAGGGGCTGGAAGAGAGGGAGTGGGGGTGGGGAGAGTGAGGGAGTGAGGAAAGAGAGGGAGTTGAGAGAGTGAGGAGGGTGGGAGAGAGAGAGAGTGAGGGAGTGGGGAGAGGAAAGAGTGAGGGAGAGGGAGTGGGGAGGGTGGAAGAGAGGGAGTGAAGAGGGTGGGAGAGAGGAAGAGTGGAGAGGGGGAGAGGAAAGAGTGAGGGAGAGGGAATGGGGAGGATGGAAGAGAGGGAGTGGGGAGAGTGATGGGGTGGAAGAATGAAGAGGTGGGAAGAGTGAGGGGGTGAAAGAGAGGGAGTGGGTAGAGTGAGGGTGAGAGGGAGAGGGAGGAGAGAGAGGGTGTAAGGAGAGTGAGGGGGTGGGAGAGAGGGAATGGGGAGAGTGAGGGAATGGGGAGTGAGGGAGAGGAGAGAAAGACGGAGTGAGGAGAGAGGGAATTAGGAGAGTGAGGAGGTGGGAGAGAGAGAGAGTGGGGAGAGTAAGGAAGAGGGAAAAGTGAGGGAGTGGGGAGAGAGGGTGTGGAGAGCATGAGGAAATGAGTGAGAGGGAAGAGTGAGGGAGTAGGGAGGGAGAGGGGGAGACTGCTGGAGTGGGGAATGTGAGGGAGTTGAGAGAGTGGGGAGTGTGAGGGATTTGGGAGAGTAAGGGAGTGGGAAGAGAAAGGGAGTGGGGAGAGAGAGGGTGTGAGGGAGTGGGAGGAAAAGGGAGTGAGGAGAGAGAGGGAGTGGGGAGGGCATTGGGGGAGAAAGAAAGAGTGGCAAGAGAGTGTGAGGTAGAGAGAGGGGGACTGGTGAGAGAAAGGGGGAGAGGAAAGGAGATGGGTGGGAGGGAGGGAGTGGGGGAAAGAAGGGGAGTGAGGAGAGAAGGACGGAATAAGGAGTGGAAGAGAGAGGGAGAAAGAGTGGGGTAAAGTGAGGGGCAGTGGGAAGAGAGGGAGTGGGGAGAGGAAGGGAGAGAGATAGGGAGTTGGAAGAGAGAAAGAAATAGGGAATGGAGAGAGAGTGGGGAGAAAGAGGGAGTAAGGAGAGAAAGAGGGAGTTGGGGAGAGGGAGGGAGTTAGGAGAGAGCAGAAGTGGGGAAGGTGTTCGGGAAGAGAGAGGAGGTCGGGAAAGAAAGGGATAGAGGGAGTGAGGAGGGTGGGAAAAAGGGATTGACATAGAGAGAAAGGGAGTTGGGAGAGAAATGGAATGAGGAGAGTGGGAGACAAAGTTGGGAGAGAGGGAGAGCCGGAGGGAGTGGGGAGTGTGAGTGAGCGAGGGAGTGAGGAGAGAGAGGCAGTGGAGAGGGAGTTTTGGAGAGAGAGAGGGAATGGGAAGAGAAGGGGAGAATGAGGGAGTGAGGAGTGGAATAGACAGGGAGTGGGGAAGGAGTTGGGTTAAAGAATGGTGTAGAAAGTGGGGTAGAGAGAGAGAGGCAGTCGGGAGAGAGGGGGAGAGATAGGGAGTGAGGAGGGTGGGAGATAGGGAGTGGAGAGAATGAGGAAGAATAAGGGAGTGTAGGGAGAGAGAGGGAGGGAGGAGGGTGGGAGAAAGGGAGTGGGAGAGAGAGAAAGGGAATAAGGAGAGTGGGAGATAGGAAGTTGGTAGAGAGAGAGAGAGAGTCTGAGAGAAAGGAAGAGGAGTGGGGAGTGTGGGTGAGAGTAGGAGTGTAGAGAGTGGGAGAAATTGGTAGTGGGGAGGGAGACAGAGTTGGGGAGATATTGGGGTAGAAATGGGGTCAAGAAAGAGGCAGTGGGGAGAGAAAGGGAGTAGGGAGGGAACTGGGATAGAAGTGAGGTCGAGAGAGAGGCAATGGGGAGAGAGAGAGGTAGTGGGGAGAAAAAGGGAGAGAGAGGGAATGAGGAGATGGTAGAGAGGGAGTGAAAAAGGGAGTGGGGGGAGAGAAAGGGAGTGAGGGGAGAAAGAGGGAGTGAGAATGGGAAGAGAAGGGGAGTGGGGAGGGAGTTGGAGGAGAAAGTGGGGTAGAAAGTGGGGAAGAGATCTAGAGTGAGAGAGATGCAGTGGGAGAGAGGGAGACAGGGATTGATTGTATATTGTTTAACGTCACTCTGAAATATTTCACTCATATAAAGACATCACCGTATGCCGGTGAAGGGCTTCAAATTTAGACCTATACTAGGCACTCAGGACCATTGAGCAGTGAGGGTTCTTTATCATGCCAGCGCCTACCGTGACACGGGACCTACGTTTTTAAGGTCATATCTGAAAGATCCGTGACCTTCACTTCTGATGCCGAGCGCTTGGCAAAGGAACAGTCACTACCTATTTTTACGTCTTAGGTTTGAAACGGCGCAACAAACGAGAATCGAACCGGGGCCTCCCGATCACGGAGTGAACGCTCTACCACTAGGCTACCATGAACGAATGGGAGTGAGGGAGGTAGGTGAGAGGGAGAGTGATGGGAGTTGGGAGAGAGAGGGAAAAAGAGGGAGTGAGGAAAGTGGGAGAGAGAGAGAGTGGGTAGGAATTCAAAATATATTCTTCACAAAACACTGAAACAATCTACAATTTCAATTCAATCATTTTCAAATGGCGAATTCTGTGTTGATCGCTGAACAATATGTGCTTCATTTTTGATTTTTTTTCCTTGCGAACTTCCTGAAGACATCCTATTTGTTTCAGGATTCAGGATTTGCTACGAACAACAAATTTGAACGTGTATGTTTTTTGCAATGATCCAGCAAGCTAAATACACCATTACTTCAGTGATTTCCACAAGATCAAAGCTAGAGGCAATCATCCGCAAACAAGCTAAATACAGCCATTACTTCAGTGATTTCCACAAGATCAAAGCTAGAGGCAATCATCGGCAAATGAAAAAAAAATTTCCCCCTGTGTTTGCTAACTTTGGCAAGGCTGTTGCTGGATGAGCCTCAATTTCTTTCTACTTTAATATGAGAAACCATTCCCCAAGATTTATAACTGATTACTGTACTAATTGTAATGTTGATTACTGTTCATCCTATTTTGTTGTTTTTTGACAACAAAGTTTATCTGATTTCATACTTGTTTTGAACCTTTACAATTATGTTGTTTTATACTCAGCTGGTGACCCTTAAGGCCTAAAGGAATTTGTGCCTTTTCGGATGGAAGTAGTCAATGAACTAACTAAATCAAGCAATATTGATTGATTGGTATTTCTATCCTTTTAGGTCCAATGCGATAATTTTTCACCCACATAGAGACATGACTACATCCCACTGAAGGCTTCAAATTTTAACCTATATACTCGACACTCAAAGCCATTAAGTAGTGAAGGATCTTTATCGTGGCAATGCCATCCGTGACACAGGGCCTTGTTTGCTAAGGTCTCATCTGAAGGACTGACAGCAAATTGCTGACCACTACCTATTTTACCGACCTAGGTCAGTCCCGGCGGAGATTCGAACTACCGTCCTTCCGATCATGGAGTGAGGGTTCTATCGATCGATCTGCTTTGACTGAATCAAGCAGTTTAAAATTAAACAAGAGGCCCAGGGGACACATCGCTCACCTGAGCAATTGGCTAAGAAAAAGAACATTTCAGATTAGAACTGAAAGTTTACTGAGAGGGTGGATGGTTGGGGGGGGGGAGGGGCTTGAATTTTAACCCCCAGGTGGTCATGATTTGAACAAACTAGAATCTACACTACATGAGGATGATTCCCTATAAATATCACTAAGCATGGCTTTGAAGTACTTGAAAAGAAGATT